ATCTTGCAGAAGCTCCAGAAGAAGGAGGCTGTGATCTTGAAACTGTGAGAAACATCATTCAAGGAAGGCAATTGCCTGCTGATCTGAGGGCCAAAGTCTGGAAGGTAGGGATGAGCTCAAAGCAAAAAGCAGGAAGCCTTTGAAGGTGTGTTTGGTTTGAATTAATTAATTATTGGGCACCTCTACAAAAGAGCTTCCCTGTTCATGTGACTCTGAAACTTTCATGTGTGTGTTCATCAGTCCGCTCGTGGAATATCTGCTCTCTATGGAGCTGAGTTGCACTATCCAATAATTGCATAGCTGCAAAACTGCACTAAAAATGTTTAGACTTTCGCTTTTATTATTTTTGCTTGCAGATTGCACTTAATGTTGTAGGAAAGGGGGACAGCCTGGCATCCTGGGATGGATGTTTAGACTTACCAGAACAGAGCATAATTCATAAGGACTGCCAAGAGCTCATTGGTAAGTTTAATTACATTCAGATCACCTATAGGAAAACTTCTGTACTTTCAGTTGTCTTGGAGCTTTGCCACTTGAATTACATATGGTGATGGTTACGTTTTGAAGGAAACTTTGAGGAAGATGGTGATGAGAGAGCAGAGAGAACTAGAAAGAAATCGGGATAGCAAAACGGTATCTTATCTGTATTCAGACTCTGAGATGGGTGACAACGTGGAAGTTCTCAGTATTAGCTTGTAAGAGATAGTTTGTGTGGAGTAAACAGAGCCTAGAGGGAGGAAGGCTTCAGGAGTTGAAAAAAAATAATTTTTCTTTCATTTTTTTTTCTTATAAACCTGACCTTCTTCGTATAGTGTTCTTCAAGTTTTTCATTGTCCAAAGACTTGTACTTTACAGTCGGTGTAACACCAAAATTCGTGTAGCCGCTAAGGAAGAAATATGTTAATCTTTCTGTCTTTTTGGAGAGAGCTTTTATTAACAGCATTCTCAGCAAAATGAAAGGCTGCATTTGCAAAAGCAGAATTTTGCCAGGACATTAGAAATAATATTCCTCTGTATGCCTACAAACTGCCACAGAGTCTGGTTGCCAGCTCATCACAAAAAATGACCATATCCCTGACACTGTGCAGTAACGTTAGTATCAATGTTCAGATGAATGATTCAGTGGTGACTCATAGGTTGGGTTGCTCTTTCATGTGGTATCAGTAAGAAAATATTCCATTTTATTACCTGTGCTATTTTATTTTTTGCATGATTGAATGTTAAGACAGAGAATGGAGTTACTGCATACATACGTGCATACGTACATACCATTTTTAGAATGCAGCTGTATAAAAAAAGAGCAGGACTTATTTTTCTTCCCTGCCTGTCCTGTTATCAAATTCCTTTTCAGGAAGGGATTTGTATTCATATCATATGGAATTAATCACTATCATCTACAAACACCGTTAATCCTCCTTCTTTCTCTCTCTCTCTTTTTTTTTCCAAATATTTTGTAGTTTGTAGCAGTATTGATTAAAGTTCAGAGTTCAGAATGAAGGTGAGATAGAGATTTCAGTTTAGTTGTATTAAATCTCTTTATTTCATATTTTAACAAGTCTGCAAATTTTAAAAAAAATCTTCAGGTGGCAGTTGAGGTTTGCAGGGTTTGTTTGTTTGTTTGTTTTACAAGCAATATAGGAAAGGAAGGATAAAATAACTGCAGGCTGAGATGAGGGGAAGTATTTAAATACTTCTGTAACATAGTCTTTTATTCACACCCATGGGCTTTTTGTAACTGAGAAGGAAATATGTTCACAAGAAACTTAATGGCACTGCATTTTTTTAATGTTTGGTATATAAGCTTCTTTTATTCCCTTCTTGAATGTGATGTAGTTTTTCCTTCTTGTAATTCAGTTTAGTAAAGCTGATGTAATTTGGCTGGATTAAAACATATTTATTTCTAATATATGCAATCTGATTTTTGTGGAAATGTGTTTAGCATTAAACTGAAAATTGTATGAACTTACACTGAAAGTCTAGCTGCAAGCCATTTAATAAATATCCATATGTTTAAACTACAAATAAGCTAGGAACCTCACTTATCTTCATTCTACCATAATTTGGAGTACAGTGTTGATATGGTTTCTATGGACTGTCTCAATACTGAGGCACAAGAGTTGTCAGCCTTTTAAGGATAGTAGAAGGATGCTGTGGATATAATGATGTACCTCTGCTTCATAAGTCCAGAAATTCCACACTTTTCCTGCCTTGAGATGATATACAAATGCCTTATCCTAGTGAGGCTATCTAAAAACCACTTATATTTATGCAGATGTCCTTCATCAATAAGCTTTGGGAATGTCTTTTGTGAGCGTTTAATCCTAGCTGCTAGGTTTTTTAAGTGTATAGAAGTCCATTTTGGTGCTGCTGTGCTATGAAATAATTTCATTCAATTTCAGTGACAGGCCATTACAATGATTGATAACTCTGTGACACTTGTCTATTTCAGACCAATTATCAGTGCCAGAAGAGGAGAAGTCAGTATTACTTTTGGATATTGAGTCTGTTATTACTTTTTATTGTAAATCACGCAATGTTAAATACAGCTCCTTCCTCGGCTGGATACATCTACTCAAACCTTTGGTGCACCTTCAGTTGCCTCGCAGTGATTTGTACAACTGCTTTTATGCTATCATGAATAAGTTCATTCCAAGGTAAAACTCCTTTTCTTTTGCATGTGTACTGTCTTTAGTGTCATTGAAAGCAATTTCCAAAAGGATGTGCATGTGGATTTTTGGCTGATGGTAATTTGTGTCTAGGAGTAACACTACTTCTAGCAAAGTTGTCGGATTCCTTCATATGATTACAAAATTGAATCATTTTTTCAGTAACAGTTTCTGGTTCTAAGTAGTGATTCTAAGTAACAGTTGAACTTCGTTGTTTTAGTTTTTGCCATTCTAGTTTTATTTTGATATTTAAATCTTTTTTGGTAGAGGAAATCCTATGGAAATACTTCATTCTTTCTACTACCTTTTTAACATAGTGTGTGGGGGATGTTTTTACTTTGTTGCAAGGTGATTTCAATACGGGTTCATGTAAATTAAAAGAAATGAATAGGAACCTCCGTTATCTCACCTAATAAAGAGTTGCTATTTTAAGTCTGATGACTGGAGTATCGTGGGGATTTTCCTAATTATTTTCACTGCTGCTTTCTAGGGATTGTTTCCTGAAGGGAAGACCATTCCATCTATTTAGGCTGCTGCTTCAGTACCATGAGCCTGAACTCTGCTCCTTTCTTGATACTAAGAAGATGACGCCAGACTCATATGCACTCAACTGGGTAATAAAGTGAAAGTAGGGAGACATAATGAAAAATAAATGATATATTTTAACATAGTGTGGGCTTTTCAGTCTGTATTTAAAGTAAGGTATGTGATCTTGTGAACATAATATGTTTTTGTACTATGTGTTAGCTGAGCCATTGTTATTAGGCACTAGAAATACCTGGAAAAAAAAGGGAATTAGGTTAACTTTCACACTCAAAGGGCAAGAAACTGTGTCATAGATTATTAGTTTTTATGATGTGCAGTTGTATGGCTATAAAGATGGAAAAAAGTGAGCTTAATAGGTCTTTTAAAATTTAATTACTGACTGTGGTTAAAAAACATCATTCAGTATATGGTACAAATGTGTGTGTTAATATGTTTTGTTTTGTTTTTCTTTTAGATAACTTGTATGTCTATTTAACTTGTATGTCTATTAACAAATGTTATCCTGATAAGACTGTTCCTGGTTAAGGCTTTTTTTCTTATACTGTTCTCTAACTTTTCAGCTTGGAAGCCTTTTTTCATATTACTGTTCAGCTGAAGTCACTCAGGCAATATGGGATGGATATCTACAGCAAGCAGATCCATTCTTTATTTATTTCTTAATGTTAATCATCCTTGTCAATGCAAAGTAAGTAAAGTTAATTGTCTGAGACATTCCTTGGTTACAACGTTTTAATCAATCTGGGTTTTTTTTTGTTTCTACTGACTTAACCAATACCTGTGACTTTACTCTTTTCAGGGATGTTATCTTAGCACAAGAAACCGATAAAGAAGAAATGATAAGTAAGTACTACTTCTACACAGCTGCTGATAAAACATTCACCTTATAATTCAATCTCCCCCTTAGTTTGTCATTTTATATGATTAAATGATTAAATTGCCATTTAATTATCATTTAATTATTTACCTTTTCTCCTCAAAGAATTTCCTGTTCTTTTGGCTGCATCACATCTGCTCTGTCCTTAATGTTCTTTTATTGTATTTTTCCTTAGCACTCCCGCGTACAGTTTTATATTTCAGTTCAGAGTACATGAAACAACCCCATGTTTTCCAAGCTCAAAGCAGCAGCTTTCAAATCCTTTAAATCTATTGCCCTTGTTAAGTTTCCCAATTTATCATCTGTTTATGTGCTTGATTTTGGCTTAACTTGTTGTCACTGTCTCCCTATTCCCCCCGCCCTTCTGTCTTTATAGAAATGAGACCAAGATTCTCACAAGGGTATTTCATCTGCCTAAGCATTATCTGATATGGCATACAATAATATAATTCAAGAAGTTCTAATAATACAAAATGAGGGTGCTTGGGACTTTGCAATTTTGCCTTATGTCTCAGAACTATACCCTTGTACCGTTCTGGACAGATAAGTGCAGCCACAAAGGAAAGCTGACTCTGTGTAGAGATGGAAATGTGCTAAACATGAACTAATCAGGATAGAAGGTTTAAAGCTCTAGCAAATAGTGTGTGTTTCCTATGGCTAAGCAGCACTGCCTGTATCTTCTGCCTCTACCTAAAGAGTGAATTGCCATTCAACTTCAATAAACTAAATTATGTTATGCAATATAAAAGTAAAATATGATATGAGAAGTTATACAGAGTGTCTTTTCTGTCTGAAATAATTGTGTCCCTATGTTGTTTATGTATGTCAGAATTCCTAGAAACGTCACCAGCTAATCTCGATATAGAGGATATAGAAGATCTCTTCTCTTTGGCACAATATTATTGTAGCAAAACTCCAGCTTCTTTCAGGAAGGTAATAGCAAATTAATTTTGAAATTCTTTTTTGATGATTAGTTAAGCTCTTGCTGTCAGTAACTTCAAATATTTCGTTGAAATTTTTTTTACTAATTCTTTCATGTCTTTACTCCTGCGATATTTATTTTTATGATCCTTGAAAGCTTAAAAGAGAAGAAGCTTAATAAAGCATGTTAAAAAGAAGCTTACCTACAGTCTTCTTGCTTCCTGACTGATAACTGGTATGGTCTTAATTGTTCTTATGGCCTAATTTTAAATTTTCAATGATGTAGATTTATCAGATTCAAAGCACAGTCTGCCTGGAAAAGGGTAAATTGTGGTATGTGAATGCTTGCCACACAGAGAGCAAGTTCAGCTAAATAACTTTCCTTCCCACGTACACTCTTCTGCTAGACTTTGTCTACAAAGCAAGCCTGCAAATGGATGTGCTAGTTCTTCTTAGCTACTATCACAGAATATTTGGGATTGGAAAGGGCTCCTGGACTCATCTGGTCATCCAGTCAGGTTTTGAGTACCTCTAAGGACAGAGACTCCACAAGCTCTCTGAGAAATCTGTTCCAATGTGCAGTCACTCTCGCAGTGACCATTATATATTAGTAGGCAGACACATAATACAGTTTTCTAAAATGTTAAAACTTAAAATTCAAAAAAAAAAAAAACACGAAAACAGAAGAGAACAGTAATGCAGATCAGACTTGCTTTTTCTGTACCAACTTACTTTCTTTGTCAGAAGTCCTCCTGAGGCTCTTTCATCTTGTTCCCTTGTTTTACAAACAAGATTCTGGTAAGAAGTGACCAGTAAAAATGTCATGTAGACACAAGTGCTTTGTAGTAGACAGCACAGCTATCCTAGCTGTACTTGCAACAGTAAGCAGGAAAAAATCACTTATAGGAGGTAGAGGCATCATTACAGGCTGCGATTTTTGCAGACTGTCCTTATTCAGGAAATCTGCTGACCATGTTGGACTTGTGAGATAAAATTGGCTTCTCTTTTTGGGCTTGTCTGTTCTTTCGCTGATGTGTGGTAGACTGGTATGTGAGATTCTTGAAAAGACAAGGTTTTCCTTAATGTCAGATTCTGTTTGCTGACATGCAACCATATGTAATTTAATCATGTTGACACTGTCAGAATGAAGAACGAGCATTTTTAATCAAAGTTCATGTTTTAAGTAGTCTGTGGAAAAAAGTATCAAAAATTCAATGACTTTATAGAGAATATATACATATATTTGGCTTAGTATTTGTGGTACAGTGAATGCCGCTTTACTTGAAACCTTTAATTTTAAGGGCAGAACAACAGCTTCAGTTAACTTTTTTTTTTTTCCCCCCCCTCCTCTTGCTCCTAATAGGACAACCACACTCTTTTTGGCAGCAGCCTGCTGGGCCTCAAAGATGATGACACTGATTTGAGCCAGGCTCTCTGTCTAGCAATTTCTGTGTCTGAGATTCTTCAAGCAAATCAGCAACAAGGAGTCAGTATACTAATTATTTTTCTTTTTCACAGTTTTCCAGAGAAAGAGTAGAATCTGTAACTTATCAATGTATCTCAAATATTTCTAAGTGATAACAACGCAGCTATGCTTGCTGCTACAGGAAAAAAAAAACTATCTGAAAGTTGACCTCTTTGTACCTTCTCTGCTGTCTGCAGTGTAGCTGTGCTGTAGCAACTAGAGCTACAGCAAAGGGGAACTTACTATGCTAGGGGCTTGAAGTAATCTCTCATTGATGTCGCTTCTTTTCCAAGTAGGAATATATAGGAACACTTTAAATAGGAAAATATTAAATGCACTACTTTGTGTCTCTAAGAAGAATGTTGTTACAAAATAATCTATCTTTTAGCAATTAAATGCTTTAAAAAGTTTCGGGGCAAGTTATCTGCATGTTTTTCTTTATTGTTACAAAGATAGTTAAATGCATGGACTTCACTTCTAGTATTTAAGAGCTATATATGGATATATATGTGCAGTTACGACATAGTGTTTCTTTTTGACTACCAGCTAGCAGGTTCTGTGCCCTGGTTCATCGTGCATAGGTTTGTTTTCCCACTCCAAGTAAAATTAAGCATGTGCTTATATCCTCTTTAAGTCAATGGGGTATAAATCTAATCCTGTGTGCTGTGCTGAGTAGTCACATACTGTTGGATTGGGACTTCAAAATTGTCCCTTCTAATACCTCAGCATGTTGGTGTGTGCTCTCCTACAGGTTATTTTTCTTCTCAGTAGAGGGGAAAACTGCACTGCATATTGCACTTGTTGGTGGTCCTTCCTGAGGTGTAAGCTGCTATGTTAATACAAAGTCACTATAAGAATAATGTTGGTGGTGCTGGTGACTGGTAGCTTGCAATACTCAGGGTTTTTGATGGCCACTAACTCCTATCACTGAATCCCTCCCTATAGTGTTATTAATTTAGTTAAGAGAATTACTCTAAAATAAAACTGAATAATGTGCTTTCAATAATTACACAGCTTTTACATTTTGTAACAGGTAATCTTTCCCTTTCAGGAAGGAGTAAGGTTCTTTGTAGTGGATTGTCGCCCTGCAGAGCAGTACAACGCTGGCCATTTATCAACGGCATTTCATCTAGACTCAGACTTGGTTCGTATGCCTTTTGTTTCTGTAAAGGTTTTTGAATCCTAAGTTAAACAGAAGGAGAGAAAAATGTCTGTGTTGGAAAAATACTAGTCCTTAGACTGTACTTTGTGAACCACAGTGTCTGTTTACATACTGAAGTTTCAAAACTTAGCTTTCTCTACAGGATGCTGGTGCAACCGTCACTTTACGAAGAAGTTCAGTCCTTCATGACATTGGAGCCTTCCTGGTCTTTATGACCATACAGAATAAAATGCAGGCATGCATTTGTGAATGAAGAAATCTCCATTTAGTAACATTAACATAGTTCCTTATGAAATGTGTAAATAATGTGGCAGACAGCACCCTTTTTTTTTTTTCCCACCCTATCTTATTGCAGCCTGGTTGTAAGGGGCAGATATCTGTGAAAAGGATTTGGTTGCTCCTTCCCTATTTTCATAGTACAATTAGAGGGGAAAAAAAAAAAAAAAAAAAAAAAAGCTCTAATCTTGGGACTGAGATGTAAAACTGACTTTTTAATTATTTCATTAAAGATTTTGCTCTAGTTTCCATTTGATGTAAGTTCATAACTCAGTCAATTATAATCTTCTCTTTTTTCTTTTCTCAACAAATCATCTATGGTGTTCCAGTTGGTTTCAGTGTATTCTTCACTTCCAGATTAATCCTGTACTATTTCACTTCAAACAGGCCTTCAGTGCTGCATTGAATGATTTCCATGCATGCACCCTCTAAAAAGATTTTTAGGGGATAAAGCTTTGATCCTTTTCTAGTGAAGAGGAATAGTTCTGCGTGATGTCTCTATTGCTGTAATTAAACTGATGTATTATTTGCACAAATGTAGTGCTTTGGATTTTTTATCTTGTATCAGAAATTATGCAGAAAAAGCTTTCTCCTGCCAGCTTTAGTTGAATATCAGATTCAGTAAGGTAGAAATAATCATGACAGGCTCTTAATTATTAAAAACTTAATGATCTATGAAAGATGATCCTGCAAGCAGTTCTTAAATTGTATGTGATTAATTACTATGTATCTAATTATATGTTGGTATTAACTGCTGCAGTGTATGTCAGTGGATATGATTATGATTCATCATAAACTGTGCTGGATGCATGTCCCCAGGTCCATCATGTATTTTGGGGAATTTAATGCAAGGAATAATCTCTGAGACAAAAAGCTTTGTAAAGGGCGACAGTGAGGAAAGCATTTTTGAATGTCTCACAGTAGTTTTAAGTAGCAATAGTGAGATCCAACCCTTAAGTAATAAAACTCCACCATTAGGTTCAAAGAAAATCCCAATTCTTATTCAGGTTGGCTTACTGTTGAACTTGTGTATTTGTTATTTTGTACTTCATCATTTAATCCTGTTACATTACTGGATTAAATTACATTGGGTACAGTTACATGAATCAGTTAATGTAAAGGCTAGATAAGAGACGTTTCCCTCGCACACTCATTAATAAGGAAGCATCAGGCTATAACTGAACTGAAGAGCCTTCCCTTCAAAAGGTTTTTTTCTACATTTGGAAAGTGTGCATTTCTCCATGCCTTCTATCTAGCTGCTCATGGATTTTGAATGTATAACACACCTGTAGGAGAGTAGCACCTTAGTTTTTAGAGAGTACCAAGAGCTCTTGGCATCTGTTTGTACTTCTGCTCATGAGCTTCTTTCCCCAACGTGGGAGAGGTGCAGAGTGGAGGTGACAATGCAGGAAGCCTAGCAGGGAGGCAGCAAGAGGAGCAGCAGCTCACTGACGTGCAGAAATTCTAGGCTTTTTAAAGGACTCCCAAACTACAAAGTTCGAAAATGTTGTAATTGAGCATATATGGATGTGGAAATCTGTTCCTCTGTTATGTTACCAAATTACCGCTACTTGACTTCTTTTTATTTATTTATTTATTCTTTACCTAACTTCCTTTTGGTGTCTGCAAGAATAAGCTAATAGATAATAGCTGTCGTCTTCTTCGGGACAGGGCATGGTAGAATGAGAAAGAAGAGGGCCATTCTCAGTAATCATTACATGAGATTAAATTTTGGATCTCTCTGGGGTTTGTGTTCTCTCTCTCTGCCTCCCTTTCTCCCCCTCTCCCCCCCCGCCCCCCCTTCTCTCTCTCTTGTAAGGTATTTATGTTACTTCTCAGTGAGGAAATTATATTCATTTTCAAAGTCTGTCTTTGTCTACGTGTTGTGTTACAATGGGTTGGTGTTAAGTCTTTTTATCCATTCATTCACAGATGCTTCAAAACCCATCAGAGTTTGCACAGTCTGTAAAATCCCTCCTAGAAGCACAAAAGCAATCTATCGAGTCAGGCTCCATAGCTGGTGGGGAGCATCTCTGCTTCATGGGCAGTGGCAGGGAAGAGGAAGACATGTATATGAACATGGTGTTAGCACACTTCTTACAGGTACTGCTAAATTGCTCTTGATTTTAATAGCTGAAACAGAGTGTGCTTTTGCGCATATCTTTGACATTAAGTGACAAAATATTTCCCTCCTGAAATATTAGCTTACTTTATATTGGCAAGTCGTGATTTTTTTAATTAAATGACAGAAGCACTCCATGTTTCCTTACCATGCTTGCATAATTGAATTCGCAGATTTTTGCTTCAACCATGATAATGTCTTTTCTCTTGCAGAAAAATAAAGAGTATGTAAGCATTGCCAAAGGAGGATTTATGGGTAAGCTTATTAATAATGACCTTTGTATTAATATGGGCTTAAGAAAGATTGATGTTTTAATGCTGTTGATATCTTTAGTAAATTTTGACTAGAAATCAGCTAGATGAATGGGAAATGTCTTATTTGACATATTTTACTTTGGCACAAGTGAGTGCTCTGTGGTTAATTGTTGGGCCTTACCCAAACTTACAAAAAGTGAAAAATTAATACAGGAAGCAGGGAGATTTCCTTTTCCTTCTAATTTATTGTCCCTGGCATTTAGTCTCTGTAGGTTGTAAATCCATATAAAGGTGCTTCTTAGTAATTATTGTTGTTTTCTTTAATCATCAGTTCATAATTCTGCACTTCATGTTGCTGAACAGCTAATTGGTGGAGTCAGTATTGGCTCCAGAACAGAGGAGAGGTTGACAATACGAGCATAGAAGTATTACTACTTCAGATATGCAGTGTCAAAATAGCTTCTCTAGGATCACGGCAGTGACTTATATGTAAAATAAATGCTGTGATAATGCCTTTGTGTTACTGAAGGGAAAACCATGGAAAATTATAGTAGTATATGAATTTATCTAGTGCCTTGGATCATCTGAACAAGTATTTCTGCTGAGTAGTCTTGGATATGCAATGCTTTCATCATAAGATTACTTCTGGTGTAGTTCTGAACATGTTTTTTAATGGCCTTTTAACAGCTCTCCAGCAGCACTTAGCAGATATCAATGTGGAAGGACCAGAAAATGGATATGGACATTGGATTGCCAGTACCTCAGGCTCAAGAAGTAGTATCAACTCTTCTGTCGATGTAAGTGAATTTCTAGTTCAGGTGGTGTAGTGAGATAGGAGCTTTAGGTCTACTACATTTTTTCTTCGTATTCCTCATTCTTTTCTGTACAGTGCATTACTGCAAACCGTGGTTGTACTTAGTTGTGTACTTAATTTCCAAAGATATTATCTAGTTAGAGGTGTCTTAAACTAATCCTCCTGAGAGGAAGGGCCTCCAGAAAACATGGTAGTTCTACAAAATAATATATACGTATAATGGACAATTCTCTTCTTGGCTTTTATTCACTATGGGTACAAATTACTATAAAGCTGATGTCAGAAAGCTCAGAATTGTTTATTTTCTATAGCTGATATGCTCTATGTAGAATCTGGCTTTCAGCTGGTATGCAATTTAGCATTGATAGAGGTCCTTCCTCTCTATATTTGGATGTCAGAGTGCCTAATACTTTGAGTGGTAAGGCTTAATCCTTAATGTTGTAATTAATTAGTGTTCTACTAAGTACCAAAAAATACAAGTTTAACATTTTCTATTGTTTCCATTCTTAACTAACCAACGATTAAAGAACATAACTGGGGTTTTTTTTTTTTATGATTAATCCTGAGAGGAGTTACCTTTGCAGGGTGATTCTCCTAATGGTTCAGGTGATGGAAAAGGAGTCAAGTCCTTGGTGAATAAAATGACGGTTGCTTTGAAGACTAAATCTGTGAATGTGAAAGAAAAAGTTATTAGTTTTATTGAAAATACATCTACACCCGTGGACAGGTGGGTTATTTATACCTGACTCTGATTAGCAGAGAGTTATGAATGCCCATTTCAGGTCGCTATTTTGTGCATATCAAGACTGTGCTAGTTAGAAAAAAAAAAAAAAAAGGAAAATATATATTACTGTTCTATCACAATATAGTAAGACTGCTGTGTTGTCTCGGTACTGGAAAACCAATGTAAGCAGAATTTTCTCTTGAATTTTTATTCATTCAAGTGTTTATCCACAGGCTGTCACTGCATCATTACATTGACTTCACCAGAATTACCTCTAGTTCATCTTGTATATCTGCAAGTAGAGGTGGGAGTGAGAATGTGAGCACTTGTTGAAAGACGTGTTCAAAGTTGGAAATCTCCATTCTAAATATTTATCTTAGACAACAGAATAACAGCTGTAATTCGTGGAAGTTGTAAGCAATAGCGTATTTTGGAGCTGTGCTTCAGAAGATGCAGGCTTCGGAGTTGTATATTGCTAGACATTGGCACTGCAGTATCTCCTGTAGTGTTTGTTGGTTGATGGGATTTGCGTATGTGCCAGACAAACAGTAGTTCTTGAGCAGCTTTGCCCCTAATCAAAAGTTAGAGACTGTCACTTACAGGTTATCGTTGCCTGCCTGTTTTGTTGGAAAATTTGTTTTTAAATTTCACATTTGAAGGCGAAAGTTTCTTAAATAGCATTTGCTAGTAACACTTGTGCTAGGAATTCAAGTTCAAGAAAACATAAAGGTGCATATTTCGATAGAATATCTACAATTATTTCCTCTATTGGGGAAAGCTATTGTAGAGCATTGTCTTTATTTATAAGCATCTCCCCTGGAGAAGAAAACGGTGCTGTTGTAGAGCATTTGTATTATTTATGTAGCCTTTTTTTTTTTTTTGTAATTATTTTCTTCTGTCCTCTGCCCAACGTGCTATAGAATACCTTTCAATATTCCCTGGCCAGAGCGAGCAAGCCTGGAGCGGTAAGCTTGATCCCCGGATCCCTAAAGCAGCCTGACTAAACCTGCCACCGTCGTACTCAGCATGGCACCGCAATGTCTATAAGCATTGGTCACACTGACAAAACTGCTGAGAGATTTTTACGGCAATTCAGTTTTTTGTTTGCTTTTAAGCAAGTAAAGCTGTTGATTTGTACAAGTACTGGTCTGGGGACTAGAGGAAAAGAAAAAAGGGTTTGCAATGCTGTCTTCTTTCTTCTTGGTTCTGCTTTTTTTTTT